GCCGGTGCGCTCGAAATTTTGTGGCGTTAACAGCGCAGTTTTCTTGTCAGGTCCCAAGACACGGTAAAGAATGGGACCATGTGGGTGCTTTGGTACAAGTTAAGCCTATAAAGAGCATGTGCTGTCAGGAAAAAAGAAACGCATTTCTGACGTAAACGGCCAAAACCACAGTTCGACAACGAAGCTAGAGAGGTAAGGAATAATAGCGCTCGTCTGTTACCAATTGTGGTGTCTCAAGATTTGAAAAAAAAAACGCTTCTATAGTGACTTAGCAATTTAGGACACGGTAGTACAGAGACTGACATCACTGCCTCGGCAGTGCATTTTTGTCGAGGTCACGCCTATGTATACTCCAGCCCAGAGGCGATGGTAGCGGCACCCAGGGAGACTCCTGTGAAAAGGTCTGTTGTGTGCGCCGCGCAAATGTTCTGCGACGGCGACGCTGCTCGCTTTTCTTTTATCATTCCACACGGGGCCTCAGTCATCGTCACACCATTGTAGATGTCTCGAGGTGCTGCCAACTCAGACGAGTACTCACACTCACGTTAAACTAAGCTCAAATCGCTTGAAACCAACGATCCCCACTAACAATCGACGAAAATTGCCCATGTGCACGTGTACTGCATAATGAAACAACACAAAAGACTCGAGAATTCGATTTTAAGGTCAAGGGCCCTTTACGCTAGGTTGATATGAAGGCAAAAGAGGAGGCGAGTGTGTCAAGTACATATGAAGCTGTGTCACCGAGACGAATGTCTCACAATAATACTTGATTTTATCTCGAATCATACACACTTACAAAAAAAAAAGTAGGCAGACGTTGTAGAAGCACGGTTTTTAATACATTCAGATGATGCAGGTTAGTACGCTCTAACTAGAATTCCAATTGCTTATTTGAATAAAGTAACTGATAAAATTTATTCACGCGGAATTGTGTGAGGACCAACTGGATTCCTTCGAAGTCGTCCTCGACCGCATGGTATTGAGAATTCCGTGAAGTGAAAAGTGAACAAATACCTTGGTCATTAGAACAATTAGTCCTGACTATTACTTCAAAGCACAATTAATGACATCTAGCCTTTCCTCTGTTGGTTACGTCATGCGAGGCACCACTTCAATGAAGCGGAAATTTATGCTATCTGAAGAGGAATTTAGGAGAAAATAATGAAAATACTAACGAGGGTGTACATCCCAAAACCACGGTGTCATCATGAGAAGTTGCTTAGTAGAGGACTGCGAACTTCCGACCACGTGGTGCTCCTTAAGGTGCACTGACATCACACAGTACCCAATTGATTGATTGATATGTGGGGTTTAACGTCCCAAAACCACGATATGATTATGAGAGACGCCGTAGTGGAGGGCTCCGGAAATTTCAACCACCTGGGGTTCTTTAACGTGCACCCAAATCTGAGCACACGGGCCTACGACATTTCCGCCTCCATCGGAAATGCAGCTGCCGCAGCCGGGATTTGAACCCGCCACCTGCGGGTCAGCAGCCGAGTACCTTAGCCACTAGACCACCGCGGCGGGCTCACACAGTACCCAAGCCTCTAGTGTTTCGCCTCCATCAAATTGCGACCGCCTTGGCCCGGATTGAACTCGTTGACTTTCGGTTTTGCAGCCGAACACCATAACCACGGCTTCACAGAATCCCAGATAGATGAACAAGTGGATTAGGGTTCATAAGAAAGTAAAAAGGCAACAGCGCCAAAACGAACCCGAAAAAATGCCCCGTCTTCATCTCGTTCTTTGTATTCTCTTTTGCACTGCCCCCTTTTTACTTTACTATGAACCCACTGCTACACTTCAGCGGAATATAACAGGAAGTGAGACCTTCCGTGTACTGAATGGTTCAATGATAAGCTGAAGGCAACAGACAAGCTTCTTGATGAGATTGAAGAGCTTGTTTGAAGATGTCTCATCTCAGTAATGATAATGTAGCCATGGTTTCATTATGAATTGTCCGTAACTCGGCTGTTCTGAAGTACGACAATTACTGTCCGCAAACTGCAACTCAGCAATCACTAAAATGTAACCAACTGCACTTACTTTACGACACACATTTATAACCTTTCAATATATCAGCAACAAAGAGCCCACTTGTTGCTTTCCGGAATGCATCTTCGGTGGTGTTTTATTTATCTTTACGAACTGCTTCTTTTATCGTATACCTCTTATTTACTGCATCTTGCTGGTAAGAGGAAAATCGGCAGTGATGCGGAAAACCCATGCGACGTTTACGCTTTAAGTAAAGTTCAAGCTAAGGTTCCCGCACGAGCCTTTAGAGAAACACGTATATTGTGTTGAGACACACTGACACTCAGCCACATAACAATGGAGTGCACCGCAAGGCCCACAAACATCGACAGCCCACATGTTATTAACCATCGGCTCATGTTACACAGGTAGTGGGAGGCATGGCTTGCGGGCGAGGCCAAGCAGAGCCAGATAGCTTTGCTTGACCAGGCCCCGCGATCCGCTCTTGCCAGCAGAGCCCTGCGTGCATATACTTTTTTTTCTTGAATAAACTTTCTTCCTCCCCCGGCAGTGAAATCAGTGCGAAAAAAAAAATGTCGAATTACCATTGACAACGGTTGCCAAGTAATACCTGAGCTCACTGAACATCATATCTCCGGACGCTCGTGTCACTTATATACGCGAAATCAAAATAAAAATGAAATGTAGCATCGCCTTTGAAGGTCACACTGTCGCGTATCTCAGAGCGAGGCATACATGAGCTCAATGTAGGCCTGTTAAAGCTTGTGTAATCAGAAAGGGACAAAAATAATACAGTCCGTCACAATGAAACAGACGAGGGCTCCACTACAGAACTACCGAAAATGTTATAGATTGCGACTATGGTAAGTCACATGCGTTTCTTTATTTACATGCCAGCCTAGGTGCCTTGCTTGAAGCATGCAGCTAAACTAAAATGTTTCTTCATTTACGAAAATAACTGTAAACATATTGTCACCCCCCCCCCCCTCACCTCCACATACCCCGCAAGTCCATGTACTTAGATTTAGGTGCACGTTACGTGGATTGTAGGCTACCTCGATTCAGTCAGGACAGCCGTGGTGGTGTAGCGGTTAGGGTGCTAAACGGCTGCCTCGGAAGTTGTGGGTTCGATCCCGGTATCGGCTGTCGCATTTCAGTGGAGGCGAAATGGCTGCGATGTCAGGGCACGCCACATAACCCGAGGTGGTCGAAATTTCCATAGCCCTCGACATACGACGCCCCTCATAATCACATCCTGGTTTAGAATCAGATATTATTATTGAATTAAGTCGAAGTGCTCCTATTTGAAATAACCTAACGTTCGAATTTCGAAGAGTAGACACAAAGAGCCTACTTAAAGCAGCCTTGACAAAACATTTTGAAGAAAACTTGCGAGATAGAGTTTCGTGCACATACGCGCATCATCCACGGTTCATTGCCTAAGGAACTAATCAAAATCAGTTATGAAGAACGTATCACACGCTTCGCGCGAAACGCGCCTTTGGTTCTCGTAAAAATAACCAACCGCCACTCGTATCCCAAGTTTGTCTTGGCTGCCATGATCCTTGCGAGCACTCTCTTCCAGCAGACCTTTTTAATTGAAAAAGCCGGCAGCTTGCCTGCATGGTGGAAGTCGATATATTGCAACGCAGCCAGAAAGGAGCTAATCATGCCGTACATGAAATTCGTGCCTTGATTGATGTTAAGACTTGACATTTAGAATAGTCATACAGTCATGGCATGCAATACCAGTTTGGTATATATCAAGCTACCGAAACAGCCATGAGCGTGACGTGCAAGTCATGTTGCGCACGACATGTGATCATTTCTATATTACCACTTGTCATTTATGTTCGCAATACAGCTACGTCCCGCCATACCAGGTTTGGTGCATATCAAGCTATAAAAACGGCCGTCAGCGCACCAAGAGTATGGCATTTAAATCATGTTTTACATGAAACGCACGCCATGATTTTCATGTTAGCGCCTGTCATTCAAGTTGGTCATGCAGAAATGTCTCATCCAACCAAATTTTACATCATTTTTAGATCATTTTACATCATTAGCATCATTTCAAGTTAAGGAAACGGCTGCAGGAACAACACGGCCATGACATGTAGTAAATCGTACATTTCAAGAAAAGATTGTCATAATTTGCATATGACAAGTCAATCTTGTTCGTCATGTAGTCATTTTATGCCATACCAGTTCTGGTATAAATGTCATTAACGATACGGTCTAGAGAGCACAAAGTCGTAGGCAGATATATATATATATATATATATATATATATATATATATATATATATATATATATATATATATATATATATATATATATATATATAGATAGATAGATAGATAGATAGATAGTTAGATAGATAGATACATAACGTGGATTTTCAAAGTAAATACAGTGAAACAACATCTAGACAAGCCTCTCGTAATGCCAATATATCATGGTTACCATTCAAGGAGATCCTAAAAATTTTCAGTGTTCAGTACCGTTACTATGTGCTTAATGAGTTTGTTCCACTGTTACAGGTAGGGAAGAAGAGTATTTAAAAACATTTTTTTAGAAATAAATGGCACCGATGAGTACGGATGTCGTAACTTTGTAGAATATTCTCTAGAAAATGAAATATATTCATATGTTCAGATTTGAAATTTACCCTTCACTATATTACAAATGAACTTAGGGCGCATAATCTTATTTTTTACTGTTACACGTTTCATGCCTGCTTGGTGAAGTAACTGAGTAATAGGTGCAGGACCATTACTATTAAAAATAAATGGTACAGCTTTACTCTAAAATCTTTCCAGCTTAAGTGTGTTTGAACTCATTGACGCAATTCAGTAATTTAAGATCAATTGTATGGGTATGAAAAAGTTTCTTCGCTATTCGTAGCCATTACAGCATAATTGTCGTACTTCACAGCCATCTTTATACCTCAATACAACCGGAGCTGCGAAAATAGAGAATTCCAATCGGGACGTACGGAAGCCGATGCGGCAGGTGGCCAGGTATCGATCCAGGGCTAGAAGAGTGAGTGTTCCGATGTGAGCCGAGCCGAAGAAGAAGCCAATGAAGGCATATGCCTGGCATCCCGAGTAACCGAAGATCCACCTGAAATGAAGCAAGTGCATTTGTCATATATGCACCGTAGCGAGGTGGGGGCGGGGGAGGGGGTTGTGAGTCTGGGTCCCCATTGAAATTCTGATTAAAAGGGGTGTTTACCAAGGAAAAACAATTGAGTAGGTGTTTTTCACGGTTTAGAACAAGTGCCTCGCCCCCGTCCTCTGGGCGAAAATTCGAGCTAGTGGCTTGACGTGTATACTACGGCAATCAAGCATTCACGCCCCAGGCACTAACGCAAAGCTTACGCGCATATAGAAGTTCTGAGTGAAGTCTCGCCTGTGAACTTCTGTGTGTTGCGTTATCTTCATTTTTATCGTTTTCCCCTTTCATTTATTTATTCATTAATTTAGCATCATTGTTTCTGGGCTCCCTTCATTGCAGCGCAATGTAGAAAAGAAAAATGCAGTAGCTCAGTAGTTCTTTTTACCTCAACCTTTTCATAGAAACTCATTGGGTGTGTGAACAAACTTTTGCTGTGCATTCACGAGAAGTGAAAGAACCTGTAACGAGCTCAAAACTTTCCGTTCTGCCTAAACCTGACTTACACGTGCTCATATGCGTGCACCATCGGGTGTGCGTGCGTGCAGGTGTTTCCGATGACGTGCAGCAACCTCTCTTCGAACCCTAGCGAAAACAAAGTACATTTAAATAGCACAATTTTTTTGCTACCACGCGTATGTCTGGGGGACTAGCTTGAGGTAAACAGCACGTGGCATTTAGTGCGAGAGCTATCTGACCAAAATTTTTTTTACGTGGGCACCAAACACCAACGTGCTCTATAGCGCGAGCGATTAGAGACGCCTGAAGTTGCTATGGTTGTGAAGGGTGCTTTGTCATATTCACACACTGTCTGGTCTGAATGATGTGTAGGCGTATTGAACGCCAGAATCCGCCACGCTTTCCCCATTCAGATGTAGCGTTTCGTCTTGCTTCACCACACCACTGAGGCCTCGTTTGGACCGACTCACACAGATCAGCACAGTTCGGAGCGAATGCTGTTATGAATGCACTATTTTGAGCAGCAGTACAGAATCGGCGCAGAAAATTGAGAGAAGTCTTGCACTGTTAGTTCTTCGATAGCATATGCAAACTCTTCGAAGAAGAGTTTGCATATTAAAAGATGATTTTTATTGAACTAGATCCAGAAAGCGACACTAGCCTAAGTTCAATGGTAATGGGAAGCACATCTACGTTTCTTTTATACGCATTAGGTTCTAGTCAATGCTGTTCAATAGGCGTTTGGAAGAGTTCTTCAAAAATTTGCCTCGAAAAGCACATGAGTCAGACCCTGGATCTGCTTGTATCGTAGCGAGCAAGACCCTCTCCCATCCAATGGGCGTACTATGTAAATACCTCGAGAGTGAAACAACCCACACATCTCCAATCCCTTCAGCATTTGACCAGCTATTTTCGTGCCACCCGTTTTTTCCATCCCGGTTCAATCAATGTGATGACGCCGGGTACAAAGAGGTTCAGGTTCTCCCCAAGATAATAATATGTTGGGTCTCAGGAACTGAAACCACGATATTATTAGGAGGCACGCCTTAGTGGAGGGCAGTGTTGCGGAGTTGCCACTCAGGCATTGGAAGGATTCCGGAATCATGCCACATTTTCGCGACCACGGAATGGAGTGGGAACGAAATTGGGACAATGCTTGGAGAAATGGAATGAGAATAGAATTAACCGCATTTTGCCTGGATTGGAATGGGAATAAAATTGCATCTTTTACTGAAAATAAAGCATGTTTTCGTCTACGTGCAGTTTTTAAAACTTCAAACATTAGTAAATCAGTGCAGCGAATTTAACAATGAAGCAGCATTTTTTAAATGTCTTGGCTGATTACAAGTACAATACATTTATAAACAACGCGCCTACTACAAGTTTGTCCTTATATTCAGTGTGTTCCTCTGAAGTTTACCTTTATTTTTGCATAACCGCAGTCGAGCGAAACTACAGCGGCAGCATGCCCCCCCCCCCCCCATCATCGTTACCCCGTGTTAGTTTTTTTTCACCATCGGCGGAATCCTATAGCTACGATCCCCAGCCATCAGCTGTTTTCACACCCTTCACGTCTTTGTGCTAGCTTCTGTCACCGTCGGACCACTCGGATGCATGTTCAATAAAACGCTTCAAGTGTATTAACGCTGGCGCGATCCTTTTGTTCACTGCAATATAACCTCGTACCCGCCCCCCTCTTTTGCCATACTGCCTCCCACCCCTTTTCTAGACACATGAGCGCCTTCTCCCGTAATTTTGTCGGCGGAGGTCTCTAGGTCAGCGCGGCACACATTCGTACATGATGAACTTTGTGCACTCCCCCTTTGCACTGAGAGAAAGAGAGAATAAACTTTTGAAAGTATTGGTTCCAAAAGCTGCCTGAAGCAGGAAAGCCCTCGTAATCACGACCACGGCGCCACCTCCCCGATTCCCGACGAAAACCGATCCACCATACTAAACCCACATTCGCTCTGTTCTTGAAGGGGGGGGGGGGCGTGTTGGCGGCTACAGCAGCACTAAAACAATGCACTACAACACTGGCTCTTGCGTCCAGTGGTTCACGCTTGAACAGTTCATGCTAGTGAAGGACAACACATAGTTAAGTAGACGGCAATTGCCTTAACTCACTTTTTTAGAACCAACCATTGATAGAGCCATCCAGCCACAATTTGTGTTTCAAATGTAAACGGCAAATCGATCATTTAGCTCTTAGCATTCCGTTGCAAAATTTTGATGAATGCAACCAAAATAAATTTCTTTTAGCACCTTGTAGGGCTTGCGACCTTTATTAAAGTATTTAAAAATCTCGAGGACGCTTAAGCACTTTATGTTGCAAACCTAGTGACCAAAGAACTTGTGACTGATTGCCGACTGTGTTTGGAAGATCAGGTGGACGGGAAACCAAGCCCGCGAAATCAAACTTTCGAGCATCTCGAGCGTATAACCGATCATCCCACACTGCCAGTGCTCCGGAGGGGGATCATTTCATTTCTGCCGTTATTGTTTTTTTTTTGTGACTTCACTTGCTTCAACGTCTCGGAACATATCTGTATTCGCATCGACAAGCGAAGAGAACATTGGGGAGTATTTGTCTACTGCGTTTATTACCTTCTACTGTAATATTAAGATTAAATTTGTCATGTATAGGCCGGAGTACATGCTCTATCGGAGACGAAGGCCACAACACTTTGTCTGGGTCTACCTCAGTTAGCCAAAGCCAACGATAGGCGTAATGTAAAAGTGCAAACATTGTTCCAATGTGTAAAAAAAGAAACCGCGGTATAAGTTGGCGTACGAACAAATGCATTATCCCAAAAGATACTGGAGGTCAAAACAAATTATTCTTGCACGTTGGTTCTCATTGATACCACACACGAAAGGGGCGAATGCTCTATGCACGGCCTGATATTTTATCTCACGAGCAGTTTAGTATCTAACAAACGTAAATAGCCTTTGCGACAAGAAAAAGTCACAGCTTTGCCACAAAAGCGAAGTAATTAACGCGATGGCAACAAATTGGAAGGTCACGAGAAGATTGGAAAGTCGATCAAAACGTGCCCCGCGTTTCTCACCCAGAAATGACGCAAGAAACGTACTCACAGGTACAGATGCACGCGAATGAGCGTCTCAGCTGTTACTTCGCCGTGTCTAAATAGCGTGCCCTTTTCACAAGCGGAGAGTGCAATGATTGCAGTGGCCTTTGTACTCCTGGTAACTACAGCAGAATCGCTCCAGGTAAAGCGCGAGGCCAGCCAAGGCGTACGATCCTCCTCTCCTCCCCACCGCGAGATGAGGACGCGCGGAGGAGCGTCGCTCCTCTTTTCTAAGCGGGGCAAAGTACGCATGAGAGATCAGAGCGAGCGCTGCCGCGCGCTCATTGCACCATCTTGCTTGCAATGCTGAAAACAAAATTCAACCCATGGTTCCCGTCAGCAGCGGTAAGTGATAGATATAAATTGCTTGCCGTTGGAACGGTGGAAGGCGTGCTCCTCTGTGGCTTAATGGCTAACGTCTCGGCGCCGTTGGTTGTGGGTGAAAAATCATCCATGAGCGAACAATCGAGAAAGAAGCAAATATGGAATAAAGTTGTTGGTCTCATTGAGGACAGAACCCGGGCCATTCGCGTGGCAAGCAGGTGCCCTACCACAAAGCCACGATGTTACTTTCAGCTGTTTTGGGGGAAAAACACTACATAAATGTTATGTAATGGAAGGAGTCTCCTTAATGCATTTTGTTCGACAGGTGTCACAAATGTAAACAAGCCCATTCGGAGATTTGTAGGCACATTTGTGAGGCCATCAAACTACGTCGAAAAAGACCGGGATAGTGCAGCGATCGCCACTAAAAGCACACTAGAACTTCCAAACAGCTCAAAAAATATACAACTACTTCCATCTAGTGGAAAACTTATTATGTCTTTCCAGAGGCGTTGATCAAGCAAGCAGCAAATGCTAGATAATGTGCTGCTATCTGTGAGGCATTTGAGACCCTTTATGGCCTCTGAAATGGCGAGCGGGTGGCGTGTATCTTGGAGGCCATGCGACTCTTGCTTTAGATCAAAAACCTGCATGTACCTTATATATATATATATATATATATATATATATATATATATATATATATATATATATATATATATAAGGGAAAGAAGTGTATACCTACGGGCTCGTTTTTCCGTGTTTTCACACAATATTAATGAGATCTAACAGACAGTAATGCCAAGGAATGTACAGGGGAAGTTATTAGAACCAATGGAATGTAAATAAGAAGAAAGAAAAGTGGGTGAAAAAATAACCAGCCGTATATATATATATATATATATATATATATATATATATATATATATATATATATATATATATATATATATATATATATATATATGTATATATATATATATATATATATATACACGGTGAGTGACGGTGACGCCGACGCCAGCGGCAAAATCCAGCCGAGAGTGCCGAGAGTGGCTGTATATTGTTCATTCT